ATAACAATGATATTTTTTATTCTTAGCTCGTAAACTTTAATACTTATTTAAGAGTTAACGTGATTGGTTGTCGCGTCTGCAAATTGCTGAAGCCGCGCAAGTGCGCGCCACGTAAAAGTCTCCCTTGTTATTTTGTGTAACATATTGTAAAACAAGTTTTCTTTTACTCTTTTAGAAACGTGACTTCTGATCCCCATCGGCAAATGTCGATAAGTTGACTCGAAGATCGTAGACGTCCGAGGCTACCCGAATAAAAATTTATTTATACATGCGCGCATATTTCATGAGCTTGCGGCGCGTGGCAGGCTCGACCTTCAAGCCTCACGTTGTTAATTATTGTACGATAATTTTAAAAAAAGCATCTTACAACGTAAATTTTGATTTTTTACTTATATGTTTATAAAAAATTTTTTTTCTTTTTTTTTTAACATTCATCTGTACAATTTTAACGATTATGATAAATGATTCGAATAGGTAACATAACCATTATATGATTTATTATGTACTTACAAACGATAAGTTTTTATTATTAATTCAAATAGTTACGTTGAAAAAAGGACCGATTTGCTCTGTAGAGCATGTAAATTTTTAAGATCAGACGTGCGCGAACTTGACGCAAATCTTCAACGTTTATTTATATATTTATTTATTTCGTAGTTTATTAGTTTTTATTTTGTCTCTAACAACCTGAGAGAGCTGCTCATCGCTACGTAATCTGTAAAATTTTTTCGTCGCTTCTCTTTCTATTATAAGAAAGTTAATTGCAAGAATAGCAAAAACATATATTAAATTTACTTAAAATTCACAATTTCCCTGTTTGTTACTTTTTTTCACTTATATATTTTTCTTGTGGTTACTCCGGTACTATATCTCGTAGCAACGTATCTATTAGTATTCTCCTTAAATAATCATCCCGTCTGAAGAGGAAGAGGAGGAAGAAAACTTGAGTTTCCGCATTGGCAAATTTGGTATAAATTTATAAGATTTTTAAATTTACGAAAAAAAAGTGCACCACTTCTGTTTATAGTTTTCATGTAATTAAACTTTGGATATCAGTTAACAATTACTATAAATTTTTAAGTATTAAGTACACTGAAAATTAACAACACTATGTACGAGTATAACTATTTTGATTAGGTAAAAAGTAGTAATCATACGTGGTGTAAAAAAATAATTATTGCAAATCGTATTTTTAACGGTAATTAGATAACACTAATTGATTATCGATATTTTTTTTTTAATTCGAGTACTCTTGTAAATTTGGATTATTTTACAATAATTACGTATGATCACAAAGTATCCGCGCCCAAGAGACAATTGCTCACTTAGCCTATGGTTTTTATTATTTTGTATAAATAGAGAACCGTTTTATGATACGAGCTTTTACAAGCATCTGTGTCCAGTTATGCAGACTCTTGATTACTATCTATTTTACAAGTTGAACCGTTACCTTCATCGATATATCATTAAACCAGTGTTAGCCCTTGTTTTACGGTATTATAAGTTATGTTCTCTTTTTTTTACTACCTGCTCAGCTTTTATCACTTTACTCGTTCAAACTCTTAGATCAATCATTTCCTATTTAATCGCAATCACTATATTTTTTTACGCACTTTATCCTCTACGTTTATTTTATGTATATGAATATACTTATGATATTTAAATATGTACGGATTAATAAAATTCACTGGCATATTTGAATCACCTTGGCAGTTCTTTTTTTTTTTTTTTTTTTTTTTTTTTTTTTTTTTTTTTTTTNTCCTTCAAGTTTGCGTTGACAATTTCTTTTTTTTTTTTTTTGTTTTAAAAATTTGTCCATGTGTTAACTTTTCATGTTTATACGTGTGAGTGTAAATTCTATGATTTTTCTTTGCTTTTCTTTTCTCTCTTTTTTTTTTTTTTTATCATTTTTGTGCTACATTTATTTTCCAGTTTTATTTTTCATCTCGTTTTTAGGGGAAACACATCTGTAACGTAAAAACTGAAGTAAGTCTGCTGAGCTGCGTTTTTAAAACTTTTTTTGTCATACCTAACAATTTCATGTCTCGAAAAAATTTTTGACACATCATATTACAGCATAAGGGCAGATATTAGTTCATCGACGAACAACTCGATTCGACTTTACTAATCGATCGTTGAAACGCGTTCAAAAATTTGCGTAGCAGGTGTTGCATCGTACGCATGTGATTCTTTGGTATGTTTTTATTTTCTTTTTCTTCAAACGCTTGCGTTTCAAAGTCGCTAAGGCTGTGTCACGTATCATACGATTTGAATTACATTTACCTCAATATAAAAAAAATCACGTACTCAAATTTTTTTTGTTAGTTCGTCAAACTCAAGCATACATCGTTTAACAAAGTTGATGTCCCTCTCTCTATGTTGTTGATATTCGTGTATTGCTTTGATTATTGATTTATCGTCATTTTCTTCTTCGCCTTCTTCTTCTTCTTCTTCTTTTTTCGTTATCAGCTGACATAGTTGCGAAAAAATGCCGATCACTATAGGAGAAATTCAGCCACGATTGTCGAAGATCCGTTTTTGTCCTCTCCATGATAGTATCAGACTTTACAACTCTTTCTCTTTCCGTGGCTTTTAATCTTTTTTTTTTTTTTTTTTTTTTCTTTGCCACGGCAAGTACACAGCGACAAGTCAAAAGCCCAATATCTCTGGCATCAAACGCGAATTTTTTTTTTTTTTTTTTGAAATTTATTTTTACGATTTTCACGATTTTGTTCACTTAATTTTTTCGATTGATCCTCGACTCTGTGCTTTTGTCCTGTTTAGCGAAATTTTAAAACACGACTCGCGGCTGTAACGCGAGCAGCTTTGAAAATCCAAAAGCAACGACAACAATAATCGATTGTGGTTCATCATTACTGGTATAATTGTTAGTATTATGATTATTATTATAATTATTATAAATATGATCAACGAAAAGCGACATTAGTTTGGCTCCCCTACGAGTAGTTGAACCGTAGTAGTAGTAGTAATAGTAGTAATAGTAGCAACAACAACAACAACAACAGCGGCGGTGGCGGCGGTGTCGGCAACGAAGGTGCACTTCTCGGCAGATCGGAGCCTCGGCAACGGCGACGTCGACGATTGCGGTAGCACCGATACACTTTCTGCAGCGTCTACGTCTTCGGCGTCTTGTCTTTCCTCGCGGGAGGCTCGAAAATCACGTGACGATGATGTGCGGCGCCGAGAATAGGACGGTGATGGTGGCAATTATCGTGAACAGAGTAAAAACGATTAGGCACAATCTGTCAATCACCATCGCAGCGAATTTCCAATCATTGGTAATCTTCGTTTGTTCCTCGTTGTTTTTCAATTCGTCCGTGATTACCTGTTAAACGAGACAAAATAACAATGATACAAATTACAATACGTCAAAGAATCAATTTTGCCGCACTTAAATGTACACAAGTATCTATGTATAGGTAGGTACGTACAACTTGGCGTGTCAAACAAAACATACTCCAGCAGCAAATAATAAGGGCATAAATTTTAAATCCCGTTTCGGCCGTAATGAATCACCCGGGTGAAGGAAAAAAATAGCAAGTACAGCTCTCATTTCGAAATTCACGCAGTTCAATTTGATAAACACACTCTTGTTTCGCGTTGTTTTGTTTCACCCCTATACCCAGTTTCGTTACATCACTTGGAACTGACCCAACAACCGACTGTCCCGCTTCGAATTTATTTTCTCCCTTTCAAGGATAAGCCGGCCGATAAAAATCCATCCGACGCAATATACCAGACTGTACGCCCCAAATGGTCATCAAAGCAAGACATCGGGAACTATTTTTAACTCTGAAATAACATTTTTTTTTTTTTTTTATTTCACTGCGAACTTTCAGTTTAAATTACGACGGTAGAGGTTACTCGTGTAATGCCATTCGATCATCCGTTACTGGTAAGAAGGACGCGAGCGTAATTTCACAAAGTGAACACGAGTCCCTCTCTCTCCAATACCCGGTTTTTGGCTCTGTCTTTGACCGGTAAAGATAATGGAGCACCCACTGGGAAATGCAAACCAAATAAGCAACGCGTACTGTCCACCGCTGGAGCGCGCCCAAAAAGAAAAATACCCCATGGATGAATTGGGCCCGGTCCAGCCGGCTATTACTGCTAATTAAAAATTGACCCATCGACAGCTCGGTACACACGAAACGCGTGTTGACCTTATCTCCCGGCGAGTACAGGGGTTTGGCCTGAAAAATAACGCTGCTCCGCGCGAAACACGAGTGCAGCGCAAACCAAAAACTTCGTACTCCCCGATGGCGCTGACTCGCGCGGAAAATGACGAGCCCCGCCGTTGGGAGGCTCTCCAACCCTCGCGAGTCCGGGTGTTTGTGCAGGATTATTAGTCTCGCGCTCGCCAAGTCAAACACACTCGAAAAACTATACCTCCCGCGCAGCCGCTCTCTCTTCCACCCCCCGGCCTTTCTTACCCCATTAGGTTTCCCTCTCTCGTTGCGATTAGGGGGGAAACGCGGTCAGAGGGGAATCGAGTTTAAGCTCAGCCCTCGCGGAGTCCCAACCACACGAATCAAGATTCCAATCTGTCTACGGCAATCCGTGCTTATACCCGGGAAAGTTAAAACCACGGATGTGTGTGTATGGTTTTGAAAAATCACCCCGAACAAATCTCCAAAATGGTCCAAAGCAAATAGGGCACCGGTGCCCGCATGCATAATACAGGGGCTCAAAATCGAGAAGCTTCAGCCGAGATCTTTCGAATCACGCGCTCGCGTTTTCCCTGAATCCCCGCGCTTCTATTTGCGGGTCACATTTAAATAATTAATAGATCCCTTTCGCGCGTGCTCGCTTTCTCCACTTTGCTCCCTCACCACCTCCCCCCCCCCCCCCCCCCCCCCCCCCCCCCACCCTTCGTGCAAGCGCACACGTGCCCGTCGACAAAACTTTTAATCGAGGTCTGATTATGTAAGCGTGTACGTTCGGGGAAAGAGGTGACGCTTCCCGGCATCGAGAGGTCACATGTGCCGCTGAGCGAGTGTGTACCCTTTGGATTACGAAATTATTAGGCAAAGAGAGAGGGAGGACACGGCGCCCCGATTGGTCGATCAGTTGGAAAGTAGGAGGGCGATTTCATTAACGCTTGTTATAATATCCAGGTCCGTCGGGTGGATTGGCCAAAGAAATTTGACGTGACATAGATTTTGCACGTTACGAAAAATAGCATTTGCGCACTCTATGTTTACTCATTAATTTTTATTTATGCAAAAAAATAAGAGGACACGTAAAGAAATATTTTTGTGAATTCCATTGAACGGCTACAATTTGCGGTGTAATTTTTTAACTTCTTACCCACAGTGATTTTAACTCTTTTAGAAAATTAAGTAGAAACAGACGAGTAAGGTAAGACGAGCCATCGACGGGCACATGGAGAAATTATTCACGTGACTTAATCTGATGTGTTTGAAATCTATGGCATTGCATACTAGATAGAAAATTATTTTCTATTTTTTTAGAAATGCGTAATTTTTTAATTCCTTACCCACAGTGGTTTAAACTCTCTTAAAAAATTAAGTAGAAACAGACGAGTAGGGTAAGACGAGCCATCGACAGGCGCACGGAGAATTTATTCATGTGACTTAATCTGATGTATTTGAAATTTATGACGTTGCATATTAAATAGAAAATTATTTCGTAATCTTAATTCGTATGACAAAAAAATGAACAAGCTCTTTTTTTCTCGATAGCAATCACAATATTTCATTTGTTCAAGAGAATCGGTAGTTTGATCGAGTGATCAACGTAATGAAAAAATATGGTTTTCATTCCGTTGATCGGGCAAGTATTTCGCTCGTGAGTATTAATGAAAAAAAAAAAAAAGGCTTGACATCGAAATCGTAGATAAAACAAGAACGCTCAACACTTTTTTCCCATCTAATTGACCAAACAACGAAAGCCCAATGAAAATTACGAGTGTGCAACACTACCATCGCCAAAATGATCATTTATCAATATAACCTCGTTTTCTTTCGAATTCGCAATTTTTCCACAGTTATAAAAGCACATCCATTCCCCATTCAATTCCAGTGCTCGATGAAAGATTTTAAAGCGCCATAAATCTGCCAGAAATCACGCGGATGGCAAATCTACACCTTTTTTATAAAAAAAAAAGAAAAAAAAGGAAAAGGAAAAAATTCAAATCCGAGATTACACCGGATTGACGCAGTAAGTTGATCAGCGCGCGTAAAGGACGAAAAGAGACGTCGTCATAAATTTTTTCGACGGAAATCCTCACGGACGCTTTAATCCGCGATTTCACGACAAGGGCTCCGACAGGGGCGGCCAGTCGCGGGAACCAACTCACCTTGATCTCCTTGAGGATGAGAATGAGCTCGTAGCGCGCGCAGAAGCAGGCGCTCTGCAAGATCGTCTCGACCTGGGGCCCGGTCGCCGGCTCGGCCGGATGGGCGTGGTGGTGAGGCGTGTGGCCGAGCTGGTGGCCCACGGGGGGTGGCGGCACCGGGTAGTGCTGGTGGTGAGGCGTCGTCGTTGCCGTGTGTGGGTGATGGTGGTGATGGGGGGTCACGTGCACGTGGCCGTGGTGGTGGGGCCCCGGCGTGCTGTACACGTTGTTCAGCAAGTTGTTGTGCGACGCGAGCGCGTTGTCCTCCAGGTCGAGGACGTTGGCCAACAGGGACTTGCTCGAGCGCTGATGCAGCTCCAGGTCGCCGTACGCCTTGCTCGTTCCTGTGGCGATTCGATATGTGTACAGGCTTGGGGCGCTTGTGGTGGTTGATTGGTTGGAAGGGGATTGAGTGGGAGAGGGGAAGCGATTCTATCGGATCGCGGGACGTTTCACGGCTCGTTCCACGCGAATCGACGCGCCGTGGTTGTGTTTGATTTTCGAATTAGCATTTAGACCGGGCAGATGACGAAATGGAAAAAAATAAAAGAAGCAAAGCTGCTGGGGCGGCTCTTGTTGCAGGCGTGTCGGGCTTGCACTTGAATTTCGAAAATGAATTTCGGACACGACTGACCTGAAATTGAAAACCAATTTTTTGGGAAATCGATTCGCGGCCCGTCGTTTAAAATCGCTTCTGTGCCAGGGTCGATGAATTTCAATAATTGTTTCCCGCTATTCCCTCCTGTATCGAAGAATTGGTTTTCGATTAACCGCGTGAAATCGATCAGAGCTCGGCCGACGTGTCTCTTCGGAAGATTAAGTTTCGCCAAATGTTGTTTTTTTTATATCGTTGTTTTCCAATTTTCACCCAGATTTGGTTCACCCAGAATCGTATTTTACGTCCATCCGTGGACTTTTTTGTATTCGTCGTCGTCCAGTTGATTGAAAGTCGCTTTTTAGTTAGAACATGCACCAGAGCTTAAATACACGTTTGGTCTTGGAGCTCGAGGTATCGAGGACGAAATGTCGCTGTATAAGATAAGTGGGGTAGGTATGGATTGGAGGAAAGACCATTGGACATTTCATCGATTACGGAGATACGGGGTGTGTTCTATATACCTCTACCGAGAAAGGCTATTCAGTGATTCGAGAAATCCATTAGATTTTCGACAATTTATCTTATTCACTGGCTCGAGGAAGCCACCGCCAAATGGAAATTCCAATCTTTTTTACTTTTCGACGTGATAAGTGGATGGTCGCGTTATCTCTAATTGATTTATCCTGTATATGTATATGGTTCAATGTTTCGCGCATACTCTTATTGGGGCAACTTACCAGTCACTGGGGAAGGTTTTTGAGACTTTTGCGTAACGTCATCGTCATCTTCCGGAACTGGCCTTGACATTCGTAGTATACAAGGCAGCCAATCCAGGAAGACGACTCTCACCTGCAACAAATGATGACAAAACCTTCATTCAAGGGCGACTACACTTTACGCCAATCAATAGTCATTGAACACCTACCCATTCTGACATCACGTGGGTGTCGGAGTTGCGGTGGTGATAATTCAATATAAGAATTGTGCTGACCACACTACTGGCCACCATGAACATTATACAATTGAAGTACGTCCCTTGAAACCAAGCATTAATTCATACACACTACGCTGCTAAATAAACACCGATGACTAAATAAACTCTCGAGTGCACGCGAATTCGATTAATTGTAGATGCTAACTACTTTTGGCTTGATTAAAATCCTGCGCTACGGGGCAGCAATTACAACAAACAATGCGGAAATTTACGTATTTTCATTTACAACGGTGGATTATACGAAGTTGTTGTGTGTCACTGCGGCAGGAGTTTGAATTGTATTTGTGATAGACCTTTGACCCGAATCAATTTAAAATTAATCAAAAGATGAAAAACTGGGTTCTGCTTTTGAGCAATTTTCAGTGAATATCTCAATAAAAATTTGCTCGTTCAAAATTGAGGATCAAGGTATTTGATGCACTCAGCTGACCTGCTCATTTTCGGAAGTAAAAAAGTATGTTTTTTCTACCGATTACCACACCCGTGAGAACCCACTATGATTTAACATTTATAGTGAAACAAGATGCCACATAAAACTGAAATTTTGTAACGTTAAATTGAAAATAAAATATTTTACCTAAAAGCGGTACGGCATCGGAGGTCGCAGGCATCGTTTCTGCCACCATATTGAGGAACACCGTGAGGGACAGTAGGATCGTCACTCCTGCAATGCATCATTGGATCGCCTCGATGTAGAGGTATGAAAAATCACTAACTAGGTGATAAAAAATTTAAAAAAAAAGAGAGAAATCATTACCTAGAGAGAGCTTTTCGCCGGAATCCGGTGGCAGAGTAAAGCCCAGAACTGCCATGCTAGCGATCAACACGCACGGCACGATGAGATTGAAAAAGTAGTAGAGCGTACGTCTTCTTATTATGACGACGAATGTGATGTCGATGTAAGGCTCCGGGCAGCAATTGTAATAAATTTCGTTCCTCTTTCCCGGCACACCTGCGGATAAAAATAAGTGACAGCGTGGCCATTTGGTCACAGAATCCCAATCGAATGCACGGCATTTCAAAGGATCTTCGTCGAGCTCAATAGTTACATTGGCAAAATGTAAAATCACTCGAGGCACCAACTTGGTGGAACGAATTTTTTTTCACTTGACTCCAATAGGGGTGGGGGTTAAAACTTTGACAACGAGAGGAGAAAAGCTGGATTAGTTATCATCCCCTCTAAGTTATTAAACCTTGAGCGTCATCGGAAGTACAAAAGTTTAAATTGAAATATCTTTCTTTGGAGTTTAACATTTTTTCACGATTTATACTTTCTGCTTTTCTCTATTTTTGCCACACAAAGCCATCTTTGAGAAAGAATTGGCCCAGTCTTTCGAATAAAAATATAATTTAATCCAAAAAAAAAAAAAAAATGTAGAAGAAGAAACAAATTTTAAATCATGGTCGCTTTACCTAAAAGATCCCACTCGCCGTTCGTAATGAAGCTGCTGACGTCGCCTCCTGCCTCGTCCTGCAGCTGAAGATCCAACTGTTGTCGGGAGCAGCCGAGAAACGAAAAGGCAAAACAATGCACTTAATTGAAAAGCCAGTCGGGCGTCTCCTTCAAATGGCGACGGGCGCGCTTGTTTCGTTTAAATTGCTCGAAACGAGATTTTTGCTCCAACAGCTTGGAGCACATCTTATTCTTTATTATCAAGAAAATAATTTCTTCACCGTTTATTCATCTTTATTACCGCGAATTTCGTTGGAACCAACGTCTTGGCTTCCGTCGGCTGCGCGAACTGATCATAATTAATTTTGTTACGAAGATAAAGAAAAATCCAGCCACTCAATCGAGCAGGTCGGCGCAAAGGATGAATAACATTATAATTAAAATTTTTTAAATAAAAACAATGCACCTTCAAATTCCAACACAAAATTTTTGGTACCAACATACTTTGATGAAAAATATTGTATTTCCAAATAATTATAAGCACGAAAGCATTACGTGTTTTTCGTAAAAAATTACGCATTATTTATCTACTATTTCAAAAACGGTCAGACTTAGGCACGAGTACTTTGTAAATTTTTCTTGTATAATTTTTTTCTAAAAATACAATGTATTATTTATGCTGAAACATTTTTTTTCAATTACTAATTATGTCAAAGTGATGAGCAAAAATTATTTCAGTGAACAAAAACAAGATAAAGAAAGAAGTTTCGAAAAAAAATCGAAATAGTCAAAGTACTTGAAAAAGTAACATTTAACATGTATTTGCACTTATCTATTGAAAGAATAAATAGAGTTTCTCGTCATCGTATTCCGAATAAAAACTTTTTCAGAAAAAAAAACGTACTGAGGAAAACAATTTTTATCTTAAAGCTTTAAAAAATCCACGCAATAATTGTGCCCAAAACCCTGACAACGATGAGATGTAACAAATCGATGAAGAACGAACAAACGCACTAAATGGAAAAATCACAGACCATGACGCGTTTATTGTTTGAGCAACATTCATGGTATTCATACACGTGTGTCTCACCTGAAAGCCGTCGTAGGTCCAGGAGCCGAACTTCATCTCGCAGCGCTGATCGTCGAACGGAAACCAAGTGATGTCGATCTTGCAGGTGCTCTTGAAGATACCAGGTGGCACGTAAAGGCACGTGCCGTTCTCCTTGACCACGACGTTGGTCGGGTAGGTGCCGTCGAAGCCCTCGTCCGCACTGCAAGATAAGATCAAAGCACGACAAGTTACGCAATCGTGTAAATATACCAACTATGGGCCGCTGATTGGAGGGCTCCTGATTGGAAGGGGCTGGGACAGCGAATCACGGTCAACTACCTTTGATTCATCGACAGAGGTGGTAGCTCAGGAGGACTTTTGATTTCGACCTAGTCACGTTTCACCTGGTGTATACACCTCCTCTTGGATCATCGCGTAAAGGTGCGTTCTTCGCTCGATAACTCGATTCCACCATTTCTTCGGACGCGATGAGAGGTCTTCGGTTTTTCCATCCGACGCGTTGATTGGAAGCTCTTTTACGCGCGATTTTTCAAACTCAAGTTTATATATATATATCCCCTCTCGACAAGCGTACACGATGATTACTCTATATTTTTCAGGGTAGACTATCGGTACTGTTTTTAACATTGCTTTTCGGAGCAACAGAATTTAATCTGAACATGAAGAGGAGACAGTCCTCGGAGCCTCGCTAATTGCAATCAGAAAAAGGGACTCTAAAGCGCGAACAAGCGGTGTGCCCGTCACATATTCACGTCTGATTTCCAGCCAATGCCCACTTACGAGACAGGTACTTGGCCAATAAGTTAAAAAACCCTCGAGTTGATCCAGAGTAAGAGCCAAAGCTACGAAATTTCCACCGCGGCAAGGACGAATCGACGAATACGCTCGGTCGTTCCGGCGCCGGTGTAACCCCTCGCCCGTGAACCTCGGCGCGTTCGGTCAATTTCGCCTCCTGAAAAATGTCGCAGCCCCTGTCCCCTCTTTTATTCAGCGGAGCAAATTTACAGTTTTTCCCAAAGCAGCCGCCCTCCCTTACCATTAAAAAGTCACGCCCACACTCTCGCAGCCACCCAGTGGTGTTTGCTCGACCGTAAATAATTGATCGCGCGCTCCATATACCCCGAAACCACCACGGGGAGAGAGAGAGAGAGAGAGAGAGAGAGAGAGAGAGAGAGAGAGGAGCGCCTCCGTGCAAGCAACGCTGTGGAGTGGAGCAAACGAATCGCCACGATTTGTAATAATAATCGCTAGGGGCACAATAAAGCTCCGGGCTTTATTAAAACGCCTGGCTAGTGCGACCGAGATAACTACTGCAGCCACGCCGTAATTAATCGAAGGTATAGGTGCACCGGCGAAACTTCTTATTAAACTTTTCCGGACAATTACACGCGAGGCGCTCGCTCCTCCCTTCCAGGGGATGGAAAGTGATTCCTCTCGTGACTCGTCACCGCGGTCTGCAACCCTTTTTTTAGCTTCTCCCTTCAAAGTCCTTCTTCTTCTTTTCCTCGGGCTCGGCTAGCTTTGTCTCGCTGTGTCCACGTTTACGCCCGATCGGAGTCTCCCACCGCTTGAAACTACATTTTCGCACTCAATTCGTGCATTGCGTCCTCGTTACACGCTACGCCCTCGTTCATCTGGGATGATTTTTGCGGTTTTGCCCCACCCCACCTTTGAAAATGCTTAGTTACTATTAATTAACAATCAGCTGTGTGACGTTTTAGTTTGCTGAGTGGCAGACGCCTCATTTTGAATAATTGTTTTGAGGAATAGCCCCTCTTTATCGTCAAAGCGATCGAACGCGTTTCCAATTACGGCCGTTTCACGTACTTGAAACTATGCCTTAATTAATAGATCGGTAGAGTTCGATGGAGGGGAGGGGAAGTATTGGTTGACAAAAAACGACGGGGATTTAGCGGTGTTTGGACGCCAGCGGCACTCGCCACGACCAGTGAGACAAACCGATCGCGCGTGCTGGCTTCCCGGAAGAAAACGTTTCGTTTCTCGGGCTCTTGGGCGGTCATAAATCGGCCCGAGCGCGCGAACCATCTGGTCGTAACAACGAAATTTTCGTTCGCACGAAACTCGAGCATCGGGAAGTCGGTGCACGTCTGCCGGCACCCCACTGCGACACACACCACTGCACTGCGCTCCGACAGTCAGCCGTACACCACACGCGAGCGCAAAACAATTTCAAGTGCAGTCGGCGGCCCATCTATCGAGTTACCGTTTGATCCTTACAACCACCCGGTTGGTTCATCCTTACCTCGTACCCACTTTTTTCTCGCTTGTGTTTTTTACCCTACCCCGTCTTCCCCTCTTTTTTTCTTTTTTTTTTTCATACGTGCACCAGGACATATATATTATACCAGAAGCCCGTGTTCTTTCGAATTGAAAAGCACCCTCCTCCTCTTCCTGCCCATACGGCTCGAGTTCTCCGTTCTCTTCCTCTCCATCAAACGATGGGGGAAGGGAGGGGTGGTTTTTTTTCCTTTCTTTTTCTCGGGGTAAAAAAGATGGTTGTACAGCCGCGTTGGTCGCGAAATTAGCTGAACTGTCGTAAATCTCGGCGGATCGCGTGGCGTTTGCTCGTACTGACGAGCCGGGAGGTCGTTAAGCTGCATAAGCGCAACTGAGCAATTATTTTCATTGGTGCGATTCGAGCGGGAAAGTTTGACGGGCCGTAAAACGGGGGTGACTTGATCGTTCGAGTGCGTCGCTGCTGCAAAGAAAGGGAGTCTAAGAACTACGGGCAAAACGTAATGGTAGGTCTTGTTGGTGTGTACGGCTCGTCTGACCAAACGTTGACTCGAACTACTTGGCAGTGTTTATCGGGTTGGCTTTGCTCTGTGACTCTGGGGGATGATTTAAATGGGATTCATTTTGTCATTAACAGCTAGTAAATGGATTTTCATGGATTAATGGCAACAGTCAGACAGTCGTAATTTTTACGAGAGGCAGGGAGATTATTTTCGGGACTGTTTATCGCTCCTGTGATTGTAATATACCTCCATTTGAGGAAACGTTTTTTTATCATTATTTCTACATTACGTGTAATAACACAAGGGCAACAACGTACTGATATCAAGTAGAAAAACATAAGTGTCTTTCATCGAATCTTTTGCTTACAAAATATGACTAATGTGTTTACCACCAGAGCATAAAGTTTCATTTTTACAACATGTGTAACTTGAAATACGATAAAGCTGGAATTTTTTTTTTTTTTTTAATAAAATAGTTTTATGATCAACGCTTTGTCATAAAATATTAAATTGCAGAGTTAGGTGTTATTAAAAGTAATTTTCGTCGTTTATAAATTTATAGAATGACATTGTAAAGAAAAAATGTGTAGTGCAAAAACTCCAAAAATTGATGCACGTAACAATATGTTGTAAGATATATCAATGAATGTCTGACAAGGGTGAAGAAAATCTGTATTATATTCTATACGGAATGAAACAAAAAAATATACTTTTCTTGGGGCTTGAAATAAATTTTTCTCACGTAAAAGCGCTGCGAATTTTCATTCCCTTCAATAAAGCGTTCAGCCTTGCGCGTAAACCCAACAGCTCGGTATACGCAGCCACGAAAGGAAGCCGTCAAGTAAGGACGTGTAGAAAAAACAAAACCACTCGTGGCAATCCAGCAATCGAATCCCAAGTGGGCAACAAATAATAACAATGATAACAATGCTTGCGATCGGCAAAGAAGCAGAGTAGAGAAAGAAGAGAGGAACACCAGAAAATGAGGGCTCGTCGCGTTCGTTTATCACGACAATGAACAGTTGGGCTCGTTAATAACCATCGCGGCAAGAAAACGAGGGAGTCTCCTGTGGGGCCACATCTGTCGACTTGGGCTCGCGCTGGATGATCGAGCCTAATTAATGGCGAGTCTCGCGAGTCTGGCTGTCGTGTAACACAGGTGCGAATGAAATCAGGCCAGCGAGGGGCAAAAAAAAAAAAGAAAAGCTTCGCTCCGGGGGATTTTTCATCGATACTTCATCCCATCAGCCCTTTCTTTTCACTACCCGGGGCGCCCTCCATCTCCGTTACCGCGTTACTAAATTGACGAATCTCTCGGGCACGTAAATGACTTAACAAATCCCCGGAGTACCCATTGCTCCCGATACCCATCTCCTGTCCATCATACCTTTTTCAGCGTCTCTATTTTTTTTTTTTTTTTTTTTTTTTTGACGCAGTATCAAAAACGTACACGTCCATCGGTCATTCAGCGCAAGAACAAAATATCCCGTTCGACCTTTCTCCCGTTTTTTACGAGCGTGCGACTAGATTTGTGCGGTCCCAGCACGAGCTTGCCTTTCAAGTCGAGCTCCCGTTTTACCATTGTTTCTCGCAAAACCAAACTCCCACGCGACCACGCTTCCATTAAAGTTTTTTTCCCATCCCCTTTCGGCTTCGCACGACTTTACACGCACCTACCAACAGTTGCAATCTGTGTATGACATTGGCCAAAACAAGTTTATTAAATCATGCGGTGGGGCAAAAAGTAGTTATAGCGAGCGGAGTTGACGAAAAACACGGGAGAAGGAAATTCACTCGAGTAGTGTGTGTAATAGAGCGTGGTCGTATATTTCAGACTTGCGTAATACTGAATGGCCGGCCCCGCCCCGAGTATAGCTTTTACTCCCGACTCCCCTCGACTACATCGGACACTCTGTTTCTTTCATTCTTTCCTTCACGCGCTGCCGACCCATTGAAATGGACGGGGTTTCCGGCGCGCGAGCCAAAATCCGAGCAGATTATCGCTCTTTTCGCCAAACGCCCACGTCATCCGTCAGATACGCACACATCGCGTGCGAGCCAACGAGGGAGGGGGAGGGAAAAAATGGCCCTGGAGAGAGGAACAAAAAGTAACCAGCTAAATGTTTCTGTCCTCGTGTGATGGTGGCGTGGCACAGCTGCGACCGATCGGACGCTTTTTACCGTAGCGTTATTCTCTTCCTCTTGCGCCTACTTTTTGTTTTCTTCAATAACCCAAGTGATTTTTAATGGGTGGCACATTTGTGACCTTTTTCCTCCTTCTCATTACCGTCTGTCCACTGCTATGGTGTATTTATGTATGTCCATACCTCTCTTGGCGCGTCTATTTTCCCACCGATCGGCAAACTTTCGCAAGACGACACCCCTTTGTTCTTCTTCCTCCTCCTCTAGTTTTAGCAAATTTTCGCCGAGGGAACTGCTC